GAGATGTAAATCTTGCAGCACTATTACAGTATTTAGTTTGAGTTTGACAGGGTATTACAACATAGCAACTAAAATATGGAACACCCAGTGTCTAATGCCAAGTCCTAGGAGCAGAATAATTGTTTTCTACTGAGATTATTTCAGAAATAAATTAATGAAAGGAACACTTTGATCAGGGTATAACTGAAACTCCTATTGTTCTTATTGTTTCTTAAATCTAACCCAAAAATGAGCATACCAATTTATTATTCATCTTGTTAGCAGCAGAGAGAGTCATTCAAACAAATAGGTCTAAGTTAACAGTTTTATTTTAAATATAAACATTAAGCACCATGGTGGTAAATAATAATATCTGTGTATCTACATACATGCATTTTTACATATACACTTACATATATAAACCTGGTTTCATAAGTGTCTTAGTTCAGGCTGCTATAACAAAAGTACCATAGACTGGATGGCTTATAAGAACCAGAAATTTATTTCTCACAGTTCTGAAAGCTAGAAGTCAGAGATCAGGGTGCTGACATGGTCAGTTGGAACCCTCATCCAGGTTGCAGACTGCTCTTGTCTTGTATTCTCACATGGTAGAGAAAGAGAAAGAGAGCTCTCTGGGGTTTCTTTTATAAGGGCATGAATTTCATTTGTGAGGTCCCTATATTCATGACCTAGTCACCTCCCAAAGGTGACCTCACCTAAAACCATTACTTTGGGGGTTAGGATTTCAACATACAAATTTTTGGGGGGTCACAAACATGCAGTCCATGACAGTAAGGAATCAATAATGTGATATTTAAGTGCTTTGATAGAAGATAATCCTACATTTTAATGGTCATATTTTCTTAAAACAAAGACTACTAATCTGATTCATCAAGTGGAATGTTGGTGACTGCATATAGTTATATGAGATTGAGGAAATTGTGAATGAGTATGGTGTTTTACACAGGCAATATGTCAGGCTTTAACCCCTGAATGTTAATAAAAACAACTGAAAAGAAACAGTGGAAAAGCAATATTTGATTGGTGATAATTGCAAAAGAGAAGCCATAACACATACTCTCTAAATGGTAGTTAAGTTACAGCATTACCATAAATTTCCAGAATACAGATGTTGTGGGGCTTTAGCAAAGTGTAAGTAAAGAACATAGCAAGAAGCTATTTTCAAGTCCTCTTTTTAGAGGCACTCTTTAGGGTTTATTAATGAATGTTTATGGAGAACAAAAAGCAAGAAAACAACTGAAAAGTGTTAAGGATGACCAAAAGCAAATAGACTCTCTATCCTGATCATTAAACAGACAAGTTGTATTTTTAAACTGTCTTAATTTACTATTTTTTCTTGGCATAACAGTGATTTTTTTTAACCTCTAAAGAATAACAAAAGTGATCCATCTCTTTTAACTCTTGTGAGACTATAAGATTGATAATTATTTGGTAACCATATTTTTTTCCATAAAACTCATCTTACTGAGTATGATTAAATACAGTTTGCTTTTAAATATTCATTGTTCTAAGTTGCTATCCATGTTTAGAAAACATTTCACTCTTAAATTGCTTAAATTATTTCTCTCACTGGAATGTAAAATATAAACAACTAAGGGCTACCAAGATGTATGACCTCTAAAGGTGATACTCTTTGCTGGTTTTGGAAGTAGTACTTAGAGTGTTTCTTTTGTCTGATTTTTTTCAGTATTTATAAAGCTGTAAAAATAAGTTGTAGAAGAATTATTTTTTTCCAAAACTCTTTGGAATGGATATTTTAAAATAGTACGCCTCAGGGATTATGCTCCAAAGGATTATAAGTAACCAGGAAGGTCATGCCTGGAAAGTCTGTAGATTTCATCATCACAGATTCATCCTCTAAGTGTGGTTTGCTTCCAGAGCTTTTTACTATTTATACATCTATCTTTTACATTGTGCACATAAGCTGTAGTTCCTTCAGCTCTTCTACTTGAGGTTTCTTTGTAAACTCCAGTCACTTGGTGACACTACCTCTTCACATTAACTTCTCCATTGCGCATTGTGAGCGTAACATTACTGAATTCAAGTTTGGAGACCTTTTCGTAGTTACAGGGAAAGGATCTTGTCATATGAGGAATCCTCTTTGACGAGTGGAGTGAAAACAAGTTCATAGTGACATCTTGCTTTTGCCTCTTCATGCGATGCTTGGGGCTGGGACTAAATGTTGCCAACAATTCTTCATGTCAAAATCCTGCTTGAATTGTCCTTGAATGGTTCATTTCAACTCAACTCTAAGTAAGATAAATCTAAAGTAGGATGTTCCCATTCACTGGAGTGGTCCAGAAAGAAAATGCTGTATCTGAATTAACTTGGACCACCATTATGTAAAAATTTTGCCCCAGGCAAAAAAGTAGAACTTGGGGCAACTCTTGTAAACTCCATCTGGAACTGAAGTTTTTAACATGCTCTGGATTGGCTTTGAAAAAGTCAACTTGTTCTGTTATCAAGTAATTCTAAGGACAATCTGGGGTTAGTTTTTACCTGGGTGGCTGTTGGTGGGCTTCTTAGAACTACTATTGTTCCAGATTTTCACTTTCAGAGCTAGGAAAGAAATAAAACATTGATCTTTAAAAATATTTAACCTACCTAAAAAAATGACTGTTCTAAGTTAAGCATCTAATGACTTTTTTTTAGCTGAGTAGCAGAATGCCTTTTTTTTCCAGAAGTGAAAATTCTGCTTTTCTATTGCAGGGCAAGTTGGGATGGGTGCTAACAGAGGAGGAGCATTTTATCTTACTTGATATGAACATCTGGTCTCTGCTTTTCTAGTACCAGTTGTCTGCTTCTCTCTCTCAGTATTTTTATCTGTTCTGTTTCTGCTACCTTCTCTGTTCATATGTGTTATACAGGGCGTTGTGAACAGATCAGCAGTTGTTCTGAGCCTCTGGGAGTGGGAGACAGACACTCAAAGATTTACCACAAAAGAGTGTGACTTGAGAGAAAAACCTAAACAAAAGGTATCTTTTAAAGAAAGGTACCAGTTTCTGGGGTTATACTGCTTTGTCCCTTAAGTCTAGATATTCTTTGGGATTATCTGCCTAGCTGTTGTCTGTGTAGTATAGATGCTTTCCCTGCACTTACCCACCACACAGCTATTCTCTCTCTCCTGATAGTACTAGTTCTGTACCTTTTGTTTTTTTCTCACAAACTCAACCCAGACTTTCCATTTGCCTCCAATATGTATGGTTAAGTCACTTTCATATGTATTAGTTATCATATCATGATCTCTCCCTGGCTCTCCTGTTCACCAGCCTCTTTCTTCTCTTAGTAGGTTAATGTGGCTAATGGCAACTTCACCTTCATAGTTATGAAGGCTAAAAATCCAAGAAACATCTTCAGCTGTTGCTTTTCTTCAAATGCTAGCTAAATCCTTAGATACCAAGTACTCTTTTTCCATACTGTTAGTAAGTTCTCTCTTTTCTACTGTCTTGATCTTTTTGTGCCAGGTCCTAGGTCAGGCTTTCTGTGTACAGTGTTCTTGTTTTAGTCTTTGCAACCACTCTGTAAAGTAGCTTGCACTATGTTTTTCATATAACATTTATGGATTAGGCTCAAAGAGGTTAATCTGCTGTTTCAACAGCAAGTAAATGGTGAATTCAGGTTGGTGCTGGGTGACTTCAAAGTCCAGTCTTTGTACACTAAGCACTCTTTCAGCTAACATATAAGTCCTTCCCTTTTTCATAATCTACCCACTCACTTTTCTAGGTTTTGTACTTTCTCTCTGGGGTATCTCACTAGCCATATGGAAGCATTTCCCATCTTGTGAACTAGTTGTGCTATTTATACATCTAAGCCTTTGCCCTTCCTTGGTTCTCAGCTTGTCTTTCTCAATCCTTGTCTGCTTGTCAGACTCGTTTTCTTCTCAAGTATTGACCAAGTACTTGCTCAGAGATCATTTGTGTGTGGCCTCTCTCACTCGCGCCCACCCTGCCCTGTGCCCCCGCTTCCCTTATCACCATCACACCAACCTCCTCTACCACACCACCACCACCACCTCCTCCAGGGAATTGCTCCAAGTATTGCTGGGTTAAGGTTATTATTTTATCTTCTCTTCTTAACTAGAATGTGATTTGAGGGCAGTGATTTATTTATTCATCTATTTAGTTTTATTCATTGTAACTATAATTTGGAGCTAATAAAGGATGCTCTCTTTTTATAAGAAGATTAAAATCATACGTTATACCCATTCTGAAGGAAACTATAACTGTAGAATGAATCCTGGGCAATTATTTGGCACATACCTGCTTATTTGTATATTTAACATCCATGAAGTATTTGTTGCTAGGCACTGTACCAGGTGTTTGACAAAGAGGGAAAGACCTTGGGGAGGAAAGGAGAATCATTTGAATGAGGCCAGCATTTTTCTGTAGGGTCAAGGGGAAAATGTTCCTGCTGGAGCAGATGGTATGAATTGGGATTCTGAAAACTTGTAATGACACAGACCTGACTCTCAGAGAATGGTTTTGATATTGGTCTCCTAGCAGAGTGCTTGCACTTAGGAGGAAGTCAGTAAGTACTTGTTTAAATTATGAGTGAAGAACCAATTAATTTGCCTGTTAATGAAGTAATAAAAGGATAAATTTAGAATGTTGGGGTGTAATGTTTTTTTTTTGAATTGATGAACATTTAAACTTGTAACCTTCAAGGTAAAGTCCAGAAAACCAAATTATTCTTGGTAATTTTAAAAACTTATTTCTTAGAGAAGACATGTTGATATGACAAGATCATTTTGCAATTATATGTTAGAATAGATTTGTACATGGTAAATGCTTCCTGCTGTAAATTTTTAAAACTTCCTTAAAACTCCCCTAATACTTTGTTTCATATGTTATTGAATTATCCCTCAAAAGAGGATCACTAAGATAGCTTATAAAATGTCTGTGCACAGTGCTTCCCGTCCTTGTATGCTTGTTTTATCGTCCTTCCCTTTGAGTGGAATGTGCCCTCACCCCTTGTCCCCTGCACCTCTTTTGTTTTTGCAGTATCTCTGGCTCCTCCTCCTCCCTCCATCCTACAGGTAACTCCTCAGTTACCTTTAATGGGATTTGTGGCCAGAGTCCAAGAAAATAGTAAGTTTATGTCTTCTTTATGCTGGAGATCAGATTATAGGCATAAAATGTCATTTATATATGATTGGCTGCATAGTCACTCACTTGCTGATACTTCACATATTTGAATATTATGAACAAGTCACTCTGAGAGTAGCTAGGGCAGATGATAAAATAAGAAGTTCCCTTTCAAACAATTTAAAATCTGGTAGTGAAGATAAAAACAGATATAAAATAAGACACATGTAAGAAAAGAAAGATTATATCTGACTGAAGAGATTTTATTTAGCCACCAGGTATTCCATCTTTTTCTCCGGTTGCTCAGACCATGGTAGTCTAGTTTCCTGTCACTGGAGTTTTAGGGTTTCATGGCTGGCCTGAGACTCTCCATTGAGTCCTACGATTCCAGGTGTAAAAAGGGCCATGCTGTAGTAGGTCCCAGAGGACCAGAGCTGCCAGTCTGTCTCCCAAGAGGCCTCATAGGCTGGCCTGAATTTATGGTGGCCTGTGGTCCGGTGCTCAGCCATGCAGGACCAGATAACTAATCTTACCAGTTGAGTTTTCTCCTAGGGAAGCATTGGGGAAACTCAGGAGACTGATGTCTATAAAACAGAAGGGCTGTGTCAACATTCAGTGAGGAACTGGTTACAGAGACCAGTGAACATGATCTGTGTGGTAGAATTTTCTTGTGAGCATTCTGCATGAGGAGCCAAATCACAATCCTAAGTGTGTATGATGGACATGGAACCTGACTAGGGGACTCACATTAATGACAGGTTTAATGCCACCAGGCTGGAGTAGCCCGGTGTATGCATCTCATAACAGGGATGGCCTCTCCAGTGGAATAGAAATATTTACACTCTTTTGCTTAGGGTTCCTGCTCGTTTGGGAATGGGCACTGCCACTACTTGAGAATGTAAGCTCTATGAGAGCAGGAGTTTGCTTTGATTTGTTCACTGGCTGTTCCCCCAGCACTTAGAAAGGCATTGGAGAAAGGCAATGGGACGCATGGCATAGTAGATACTTTCAGTCACTCCTTTTCTGTGCTTCCAGAGTAATTACGCCCACCTTTCTTTGTGGTATTTTACCTGGTAATAATCCAGTCTTAATGGCTGAGGGCTCATGGTCTCTTTCAGGTGCCTTTGCATCTCCATTTGCCAATCTGTGAAAAGAGTTTATTTTACTTCTGTTTATTGGAAGGTATCCCATGAGCACCTCCAGTGCTTACCACAGTGTGATTACCTTTTGGTATAGTCTTTTTTCATTTCGTTCCATAGTTATATATATTTCTCACCTATGAACTTTATAAAAATAAGAAACTTTGTGAGGTGAGCTGTGGCTGATTTTACAGATATAGCAGGATTTATACATTTAAATGAATGTTGTCCTCTTCAAAGCATTCACCTTAGAAAGATACATACCTGTCTTTTGGAATTACCTTCATAGCTTTTAAGTACATTATTTTGAAGATACTCTGTGGTAACAGACACTCTGGGTTAAGTTTGCTATTGAAGAAGTCTGGCATTTTTTGGAAGCAGTTTTACTGCTCTAAGTAGTGCAGCTGTGGTCCTGATATTTGTCTTAAAATCCTTCTGTCACTCCCCAAGTCTCTGTGGATAGAGCTCAGAGTGTTGCCAGGCCCTTCTGGCTTAGTCCTCTTCTCTTTCTTCATGCCATGCCTCTTTTTACTGAATTTCAGTCAGTTCTTTGTAGGGTTCCTGCTTCCATACCTGCATATCTGTACCTGCATATCTGTTTTTGTTTCATGTTTGCATCTGACACTAAATATCCACCCTCATCCTATCCTCTCCTCTGGCCATTAACTCTTACTTACCCTTCAGGTTTTAGGAAGCCTTTCCTAACTCACGTAAGAGGTTTGGTCTGCTGCCTTGTTTCCCATAATGACTTACAGCACTTACTGTGCTTACTTATAAATGAAAGTTTAGTTGTCCACGTCTCCATGACTTTGCCCACTGCTCTGTTGCCAGCACTGAGCATAGTAGCCAGCCGTAGGAGGCTTTCAGCTGATGTTTGCTGAATGGCTAATAATGAAACGTGACTTTAAAGTTACTGAATTGTTCTCATACCATAGTAGTGTAGTTTTTAAGATAACAGGCATTGGAATTCAAATTCCTGCTCATCCTCTTACTTGCTGTAAAACCACTTAACGTTGGAAAGCCAGTTTCCAAAGAATGAACATTAAAAACACCACCTCCCAAGGTAAAGATTAAATGAAATACCGTAGTGCAAAGTGCTAGCTGAGTAATTGGAACATTTTAAGTAAAAAAATGGTATCTTATGTCAGTCTTTAAACCAACTCTGAGACCATTAGAAGAAAAGGTAAAAATGAGCAATGGCAGCATCTTGAGTAATTTTCTAGTGTAATTTCTCAAGGTGATTGTTTTGAAAGACAAAGTTCCTTTGGATCTGTGTTTTTGTGCTATTGTTTAAAGTCAATCTCTTTATCTTATAAATGCAAATAAGATATACTGTTGATTCTTCCCCAACCATATGTAATTTGTTATAAAGTATATGCTAAAAGCATATATCTATGTCTTTTATTAAAAAATCCCATTAGGGCTAAAATACTTACTTTTAATGAGTAAGGTTTTGAGATGCATGAGGTAGATAACTTGGTAAGTACGGAGGGTCATAGCAGGTGGAAGAAGGCGGGGGCAGGGCAGTTATGGTGTTGATGCGGCTCATGCTCACCAGGCAGGGGCAGTCTTCCAAAATCCACGTCATTCCATCAGTAGGCTTAGATCAAAAACAGAAAATAAACAGGATTGCTCAGAGAATTTCACAGAAACAGTACCTTATAAATAAGCACGAGTGCTCATTAAAATTGGGCAGCTGTTAAGTGCTGCTTTATTCAGTTTATTTTGTTGAGCTGTGCTAAGTATGTATCTAGCATTTTGAAAGCTTTGAGTCCTCTGAATTTGGAGATAATCTTTCTGGCACTACTGTATGCTGATACCTGAGCTGTGGAAACAGATCTCTGTAAGAGACATTTAAAATATTTTAAGTCATTCTCAGTGTTTAGCCTGAAGAAATTCTGGATTGTAAGGTTAGTCTGTATTAGTTGAAGTTCTGTGTGTGTGTATGTGTGTGTGTGCACATACATACATACATAAAAAATAATGAACATCTTCATGAATCAAGTTGCCCACAGTCATTTGTGACTTCTGCCCCGGTAAAGTGGTATTTTTTAAAAATTCATTTTTTTAGGTTATTATCAAATTAAAACTACTAAGCAGATTACTAAAGTTAGACTGTTCAGTGGACTCATTCTAGTTTGTTACAAATTAAATATGGTGAAATGTCCAAATTATATAGTTCTGCTAACTACACTTCCTTGGATATAATGTAAAGCCACATTGTACTGTACTTACCTCCTTCTTTGAAAAAGAAGATTATGTATTGGTTGCAGAGGCTCAGTTAATAATAATTATTTCGGCTACACTTTATTCAACATCCATCAGCACTAACCCAAAAGAAGGAGAAAATTGTGCTTGGATATTTGGGACATTATACTTGGTGGTGAGACTGCTCCTACCCACTCATTTTTTGAAAGATTATTATTTTCAAGTCTAGGTTTATATTCCATGAACATAGAAGCTTGGATAGAAAATATTGAACTTAGCATAATGTGTAGTTTTGTCATCAGCTTGATGCATTCTTAGTTTCAGATACCCCCCCTCCACCACCCCCCGCAGAGGAACCTGTCTTTGATGAATCCCCCCCTCCACCTCCGCCCCCAGAAGACTATGAAGAGGAGGAAGCAGCTGTGGTTGAGTATAGTGACCCTTATGCTGAAGAGGACCCACCCTGGGCTCCAAGGTCTTACTTGGAAAAGGGTAAGTTTCAGAGGGATGTCGGGTGGGTGGGAGAAACCTCTGTGTAGAAGTGGAATTTACTGGTACTGAAGAGAATCTTATTTATTTTTCATTGATAAGTAAAGTTTTGCTTATATAACCTGTATGTTCTTACTAATTTATGATTTTGGTTCATGCTTTTGAAAGTCATGTTAGTAAAATTCTATGGCTATTTGATTTTTTATTGATAGTTATATATTTATTGTGCCTATTGAGCATGCTTTTTATGAATGGTTTCTAAAAGACAAAAATTTTAAAAGATAGGGTTTTTCTGGAATGCCTCAGGAAGAGGATGATTTTTCCAAATAGTTATCCTGACCCTACCCCCATGCTTTAAAGCTTTTGTGGTATCTTGTATCAGATACTTCAGAAGTATCTCCATATGAAACTTTCTTCCAGAGAATAGTGGTTTCTCAGTTTCTTTTGCAAAGTAGTATTGGACATTTCTTTTAGTGAAGTTTCTCTGGATATGTTAGCTAACCTTGACATGGTACTGTTGGGACATAAATCTCATTAAGCTTCCAAATCTCATCAAGACTAAGCAGCTCAGAAAAAAAAAATGTGTGCTGTCTTGAAAGAAATTTTCTCCTAAGAAATGAAAGTTGCTAACTCACTGGGTTTCAAAACTAACCACACTTTAGAATCTCCTAGGGAGCTTGTATTAACAAATACTGTATTTCCACATCTGACCAAGATAGAGGTAGTAATCAGATTTACTCACCCTCCTCAAATAGAAATGAATCCAGAAAAAAATATTAAAAGTAATGGTTTCAGACACTGGAGGACTTTGATCTCTGAGAGAAGGAACTCAGACAAGGATGAGCCTTTGATTGTCCTAGCTTGCTACCCAGAGGCAGTTTCCAGGCCACAGTGCAAGGCAGTGGAACTGAAACAGAGCTCGGAGGTCTCACTGTGTAGAGAGGATAGAGGTCAGAGTTTTGGGAGGCCATGGAGAAGAGGAAGGCTACACAAAGACAGAGGACAGAGGTCTGGAGATCTGCAGAAGGGCCCCCTCGAGTCTTGGAGGACTGGTCTGTACATGCCTGTGAAGAAACTGCCTGTGCTTGGAGAAAGAATGAGAAGAAAGTAGGCAGAAAAATTCTTGGAAATAACACACCTGGAGATAGCTCATATTCCTAAACCGGCCAGAGTAGAAAGACTTTGTAATACACAAGGCACTGAGAGAGACCTTGAAAGTGTGTCCCTTTAGTAGGGGGCCAAATTAGCCCTAGACTAATGGTTGTTCTAGACTGCTTCAGCAACACTTAAATATAAACCTTGAAAATATACAACTGATTTCAAGTAACTTAATTGAACTCCAAGACAAAATCCAACACTGTTCAAAGGAGTTAACAAAATCCAGTGCACCTAAAAGTAAGATTCAGTGTCCAGCATACAGCATTTAATAAAAAATTACAAGGCATGTATAAAATCAGAAAAATATAACTCATAACTAAAAGAAAAGTCAGTCAATGGAAACAGACTGAGAAATGGCCCAAATGATGGAACCAGACAAGGGTGCTTTAAAGTGCCACATATGTCCAAGAAGGTAAAGGAAAACATGGACATGAGAGAGAAGTAGAATATGTATATGGTGATACTTCAGAAGATCAGCAACTTTGACAACATGACAATAGAAATTATCCAAAATGAGGCATGGAGAAAAACCAAAAACAGAGCAACAGACACTAGGGACAATACCAAATAATCTTCTTTTACAGACGGTATGACTGTTGAACATCCTGAGGAATCTATAGAAAAGCTGGTAGAACTAAAAAGCAAGCTTAGAAAGATTGTAGGTTACAAAGTCAGTGTGCAAAATTAATGGGGTTTTCATATATGAGCAACGAACAATTGGAGATTGAAATTTACAAAACAATACCTTTTGTAATAACATAAATATGAAATGCTTAGGGATAAAGTTAAGATATATGCTAGGGTAGAAACTAAAACATTCACAAAAATTAATTAAGACCTTAAATAAATTGATAGCTATATTATGGTCTTTGATAATTGTTAAAAGACCAGTTTTCCTCAAATTGATCTATAAATGGAATGCAATCCCAATAAAAATTTTAGTAGTTATTCTTATATAAATTGACAAGCGGATTCTAACAGTTATGCGGAAATGCAAAGACCTAGTATATAGTCAAGACAGCTTTGAAAAGAAGACTAATATTAAAGTTGGAGGATGTAAACTACCTGATTTTAGAGTCCTACGTGTAAATTACAGTATTCAGGACAGTGTGGTGCTGTTGTAAATGTAGAAATATAAATCAGTGGAATAGAATATAGAATCCAGATAAAGATCCACACATATTGTTTGATCAAGGTGCCAAGGTAATTCAATGGGGAAAGGATCGTGTTTTCAAGAAATACTGCTGAAACAGTTGGATATCCATATCTAGAACATGAACTTCTACCCTTACCTCACCATACACAAAAATGAATGTATTTTAGACCTGAACATGAAACCTAAACTATAAAACTTCTGGAGGAAAACATAGTAGAAAATCTTTGTGTAGTGAGATTAGGAAAAGATTTTTGTAGAGATCACATAAAAACATGAAGCTTAAAAGAGAAAATTGAGAAATTCACTTTCATTAAATTTTTCTTCTTCAAAGATGCTGTAAAGAAAATGACAAAGCAAGCCTATACTGAGAATATTTGCAAAAACAACTCAGTTTAAGGAGACAAATCATTTACAGAAAAAACGTTTGAACACACTTCAGAAAATAGATACATTAATTGCAAATAAGCTTCTGGAAAGATGCTCAACATCATTAGTCATTAGGGAAATGCAAATTAAAACCACAGTGAACCAAACTAAGTACCACCGTGTACCAGCTGGAATGGCTACGATTAAAAACACTGACAATGCCAAGTGTTGGATAAAGTGTGGTGGAATTGAAGCTCTTATGCATTGCTGGTAAGAATGTAGATGTTTCAGCCACTTTGGGAAACATACAGTTTCTTAGAAGTTAGATGTACACCTCCCAGCTGAAGGCAGTCCCTTCTTTGCATTTATTTAAGAGGAATGAATTTGTATGTTCACACAAAGACTTGAACTTGATGTTTATAGCTGCTTCCTTCATAATAGCCAAAACTTGGAAATAACCCAAATGTCTTACAGCTGGTGAGTAGATAAACTAATTTTGGGAAAGCCACCCATATTCAATGGAACACTGCTCAGCAATTAGAAGGAACAAACTACCAATATAAGCAGCAATAGGGATGGATTTCAAGCATTATACTAACGAAAGAATTCAGACATAGAAGACTCATAACTTTATGATTCCATCTAAAAGGAATCTAGATCAGTTTCCAGGGCCCAGTACAGGAAGGTATAGTTGTCTAAACTCTTGGAACTCTATACTTAACTGGTGTGGTGTGTTTGTGTCTAAATGTCTAAATAACCCCTTAACAGAATTGTTTTTAAGGGGAAAAAAGTGAGCCTACGGTACTACACTAGGATGTGGTCTTGGCCATTGACATACTTTACAAACTCCCTAGCTGACTTGCCCACTGTCCTAAAGGGATGACAGTTTTAAGCTTTGAAAAACCAGCTCAGTTATTCCTTAAGAGAAAAAGCACAATGGAAAGTTTCGCTTCCTAAAAATGTACTCTTCAGTGAATGTGTTGAAAATCTGGAGAGTTTTGTAAGAGAGGAAAGTAAGTTTGTTTTCAGTTCAAGTAATGCTTTAAAGTTTAGACGAACATGCCTGAGATGTTCCCTAAGATGTTTTTCGAAGTTTGGTTTCTCTAAGTTAAATCTATTCAAACATGAAGAGTAAATAAACTCTTCTCTATCCTTTCTAGCAAAACACAAGCAAAATAACTGTGTTCAGCTTATGATTGCTTTTTTGTTGTGCATAATGTTAAGGCTTTTGCCTAATGACTCATTTTGCTACTAAGACCTTAGAATCTGGTTCTCAATCCTGCCTATTATTAGTCACCTAGGGAACATTTGGTATGGCTGACCCTTCAGACTTACTAAATCAGAATCTGTGTGGGACCCAGGCATCAGAATTTTTTAAATTCCTCAGATAATTCCAAGGTTGAGAACCACTGCAGTAGGAGAACATTTATCTTCACCCTTGATTACTACCCATACTAGCCAGGTGAGGGTGACTGTGTGTGTCAGTGTCTTGATTTAATTTGGATAGAGAACAGATATTTTCAGGTGTTTATTATGTGCCTGGTATAACGCAAGACCTATTACATCTGTAAGGCAATTAATCTCCCCATTTTACAAACCAGGAAATTGAAGTTCAAAAATAATTTGTTATAGACTATATAACAAAATGTTAAGTGTTACAGAAAAGACAGTGTATCATAATGATTATAACGATAATAGAATAAGCTAACATTTATATAGACTGTTTACCTTATACAAGGCCCTGGGCTGTGTATTATATGTTTAATATAATAATGTTTTGAAGTGTTAACACTTACTATTCCCATAATATGGTTGAGTAAAAAGCAGCTTAGAAAGTTTGGTCTGTAAACCAAGTGGTACCTGGGATTCGAAATAGGTGGTATAACTCCAGAACCTTAACCATGGTCCTAAAGCTTGAGCTCTGGCAGACCTGGGATTGAGGCTTGGTTATTCCTATTACTGATTTAATTCTTCCTGGCACACTTGACTTACTTGTCAGTGCCCATTTTATGTCCCTTCCTTCTACCAAGCCACCTGTTCCTGTGTCCTGCCTGCTCAATGACATAACTTCTTGGTAGAACTAAAACACAACATGTGATAATTAAAACATTTCTGCCATTGCAAAACTGACAGTCTCCTGTCATTTTGCTCTTCATGTCTCTGAAAATCAGCATGGATGCTCTATTTATGATTATTAAAAAATGAATAGTGCCATCAGTTCTTGGGGATTCCAGAAAGCTTTTTAGAGGACATGACATTTGTGACGTGCCTTGAATGATGAGTAGGAGTTTCTCAGGCAAAGAGAGAGAAGGGGCCATGCAGGCCGAGGGAACCCTGAGTGAAAGCGCGTGGCTCTTTGAGGCCTGGTGAGTGTGTCTGTCCATGAGAACATGGGGTTGGAGGGAGACTGGATGGGATATGAGTGCAGGAAGCGCTGTCAGTTCTAACCGGGGGTGGGAGGCCTTGAATACCAGGCGGAAGCATTTGCTTTTCTTTTTCTTTTTTTGAAAATCTGATGGTAGAAATTGTAGAAGATTTTTAAGCAGGTTAGTGATAAGTTCCCATGAACTTATATTTTAACTTGTTTTATTTTTTTCCTAAGGTACCTGGTAATAGTGTAGAGTGCATTAGAAAGGAAGAAAGGGAGGAGTTGGGAAGACCAGGTTGGATGCCTTTCTAAGGAAGAGATGAGTCTCAGCTGAGGCAATGGTGTAAAAATCTTGTTCACGTGAATAAGTAGATGCAAATGGGAGTATTTTTCATCTGGCCCTGTCATTCAATTTTTTAAAACTTATTTGGAATTACTTGTCAAAAGTCAAATAACGTTCTATCTTCAGAAATCATGTTTTATAATGTGTCAGCTATGATACCTCCATTATAAAATTTCTTATATTTTCTTAAAAGCAAAGGAATGGGAGCAACTTGGAAAAAGCTTGAGTTGGTCAGTGGAGTGATTTCTGTTTCTTAACACCACACCTAGTATTCTGAATTGTCCCTTTGACATCCAGAGTGTTTTGTACTTCAAGGTGACAGTCTACCACTGTACATCTGTTAAGTAGGAAAAGGATAAACAGGAAATGAGAATTTTTTTGACTGCTGCCTGACTAAAGGGATCTCAAGCAGATCAGTATTACAAAGCAGAGTTTGAAAACTGAGAATCTAGAAGGAGTCCCTGTAAAATCTTCTAGTCATTCATACTGCTTAGAAAATTTCTGGTGATTATGTGGATTCCAGCTTAAAGGCTGTTACACTGACCAGGGTGGTGACTGTGACGGTGGAGAAAGTGTTCGGGTTCGAGAGATTCAGGAGGTAGAATTAACAGGACTTGGGGATATTCTCCCCTGAATTACTTTTCAGTTGTTGATTTTTTCATTTTTATAAGCATCAAGAATATTGTCAACTAAAAAAAAAGCTAAAAAAATTAAGTTGATTAGAAATAGTAAATATACAACATCTTGTGTTCTTACATTTGTAGATAAACTTGTATGTCATTTAATTATATTTATGTTTAGTTGTCTGGTTCTGTTTTGAGAAATACACACTAAACTCTCCTAGGCTTCTCTAAAGGATTTTCTGACATCCTTGGTAGATCACCGTCATGGCAAATATTCAGAGTTTCAGAAAATCATTTAATCATTTTTAGTAAAGCAGGCTAGGAACACAAAACAACTAGGGCAGGTTGCACTCTATCAAGATAAAGCCTCCATTATAGTTTTTGTCTCTTATTTATGTGAGGATTAAGGTTGCATGAGAAACCAACAAAGTCAGTATCTGCTTCTCAGAATGACAGATAGATGGAGCTAATGAGTGAAGTCCTGAGTGGTGTAATGAAGGTATAGAGGATATCTTTTTTTTAAATTTTTTTTTATTGAAGGGTAGTTGACATAGTATTACATTAGTTTCAGGTGTACAACACAGTGATTTAACATTTATATACATGATAATTCTAGGTACCAGCTATCACCATACCAAGTTGTTACAATATTTTGACTATATTCCTTATGCTATACATTACATCCCAGTTACTTATTTATTTTACAATTGGAAGT